CGGACCATAGACGTGCTACATTCCCAGCACCGTCAGTGTGCTTTGCCAGTCTCATCACACAAACTACCACTCGTCAAAGATACATCAAATAGACCAATCGTCTGCTAAATAGTTGTGGTATCTCTCCTTCTGTACTCATGCATTCACATTTCCTATAGCCTTGGTGACAGTTGTAATTTTTTACTCAGTTCGCAAGAAGGCAAACATATACATTCTTGGGTGTGTTAGAGATTTCTGATTTCTTTTTCATAATATCCTGGAAGCATAGTGATGAGAAGGGGATACCACGGTGGTAGAGGGAGTCTTTGATAGGACTTGAAGAAAGAGGAGTACGGACTATCAGTAGAGGTGGGTTGTGGGTGAGGAGGGAACCAGTGGATAATGTGAATAAGTCCCACCAGATTTAATCGAAATGCCACATCTAAACTAGGCTTAAATATTTTTTTGTTTTAGAAAAATGTTTTCCAGACTAACAGTAGATCAGTATATGAAATGCATTCGGCCTATTTCATTTAAACTAATATATCTCATACACATAATCAAACGATAGTCTCGAAAACCTGCCGATAGAAAAGATAAATAAATAATTTAGTCGAAATACAAGTTTGCCTGATCGACTGTCCAACCAAACAATATGATATGAAAAATGTCTGGCCTTCCATACAATTCACATCCACTCGTGGGAATTCGGGGTTGTGGCCAATGTGTCTGGATTATACCCTGTACCCACAAAAGCCGAGTTCGAGTCCCCCTGGGGGTGTTGATGAGATCAGGTCGGGCGAAGACAAAACTGCAATCCACTCGAAGCAAGTTAGTCGAAAATAAAATGTAAAAGTGAGACCTTCTCATGTGGGTTTGAAAGGGCGCTAGAAAAGGGGAGATACGAGGATACAGGAAGGATGGGTAGACCAGGAAATAAAGAAGTTATCACAACTGTTTAACAGAAACTTGGTCTCTTTGATATCTTGTTGACGAGATTTAGTGTCCTGTTGAGTATGACAAAAATGTCTGGCAGCGCACCAGCATCGACAATGTAGACACCTGACAAGATGTGCTACTCCGGGTCTCCTTGACAAAATGAGTAATTTGCGAAAACAAGGTCAAAGACATATTTTTTTTAACTCATTTTTGCATTAACCATGGTTGTATCTACTCGAGAGTTCGATGCATCTGCCCATCTCGATATTCCTTCCAGATATGGATATGCCAAAAACTCCGGCTTCGCAGACCTCCTTGCCATCAGTTTGGCGTCCAGTTTTCAGAAGATCCGACAAATCGTCTCCCGGTGCCCCGGCTGTGTCGTCAACACCACCGAAGAAGGAATGGCCAAGGTGCTCACTGTAAGCTACATCACTCGGACATCCACTTGCACAAGGCCCCGACTCTTGGCCTCGTTGAGGCTACCGGTAGGGCCTTTTTTGGAAGATAGAGTCGTCTTAGGTCACTTGATGTGGACAAACTGAAATATCAGGTCTTTTTCGATCCAAAAGAGAAGTCAAAGAACCTCACTTTGCATTATTTTGTCGTGACCTGCCGTTCCTTTGTGCTACTCAAACAGTACAGCCTGCCTCAACAAGACTTGTTGGCCGCCCACTCAGCCGACAGACGTTGTCAAGATGTAACTAGGCGTGAAGTTGAACCGGCTCGTTGACCCGCGGAACGACCAGAAGCTGGCCAAATCTGGAGACCTTCATGAGGCCAGTTAAGCAAAACCTAAACAAGGCTGAAGACACCGACTATTCGCTGAGTGGGTGGCCGACCAACATGGGATCTGTGATCGGTGATCCGTGAACTGTGACCTATGACCTGAGCTCGATATACTCTCTAAATCCTGACGCTCAGCTTTGTGCACAACTCAATCATAAATGTTCTCGAACAGTCTTTTCAATGTCGCAATTTACAGATCACAGATCATATATCACAGAACACAGATCACAGATCCCAGGATAGTCGGCCACCCACTCAGCTAACAGGCGTTGGTGAGATGTAACATGGTTTGGAGTAAAGCCGGCTAATCGACTGACGGGAAAAGCTGGATCTTGCCGAATCTGGCCACCTCCATGAGGTTGGTGGAGTAAAACCTGACAGAAGGTGACATCGTCGACTGTTGGCTGAGTGGGCGGCTAACTGACCTGGGATCTACGTACGCGTTACGTCCTGACGACCGTCTTTGTGCACAGTTCAGTCATGACCGGTCTCGAGCAGTCGTTTAAATGGTACAAGTGTGATGTGTGATCTGTGTAATATGATCTATGATCCGTAATCTGTCACCTATAATTTGTGATATATGATTTGCGATCTGTAACTTGTGCCATTGAAAGAACTGCTCGAGACCGGTCATGACTGAACTGTGCACAAAGACGGTCGTCAGGACATAACGCGTAAGTAGATCCCAGGTCAGTTAGCCGCCCACTCAGCCAACAGTCAACGATGTCAGCTTCTCTTAGGCTTTACTCCACCAACCTCATGGAGGTTGCCAGATTCGGCAAGATCTTGATTGTTCCGTCAGTTGACGAGCCGTTTCACTTTAAACCAAGTTGCATCTCACCAGCACCTGTTGGCTGAGTGGGTGGCC